ATTGCGAAATACTTGGATTTGAAGCCAGCTGTAGGCGACTGGGTGAAATCGACCGCTTTGCGTTAATCTCCACAACAGAAAAAAAAGAATTGGCCGCCTTGTGCATTTATGCGTGTGTAAGCTCTGGCTGTGCCGAGACAGTGTATTGTTTTCCACAAGAGATAGTGCTGGACTTACTTTGTGGTTTATGTTGACACAGGAAGGAGCAACTATAGGGTGACCCGTTTGCTATGACGTTGGTGCCGCGATGCCCTGATTGCATGAAGTACCACTGAACACATAATGTTTCTATTACAAAACCACAAAAGAAAAAAATGCTATGGTTGGTTGGCAACGTCTTGAAGAGCATTTGTAATTTAACTTACCAGACGATATGTAGGCGCCATTCAATTTTTCTTCTTTCACTCGACTAATGAGGATTAATACAGTAGACACGGCGTCTTGTTTCAAATATACGGCCATATTTACTTAATTATTATATATGTGTGTTAACTGTTTAAGTGATATGTCTTAAAATATGCATTGTGCACTGTGGAGTTTAGCCCTGTGTGAGAAATTATTTTAGTTACACGCCTTGAAATTGGTGAGCGTAAAATTACATCAACAACAAACATGCGCGCAGTAAAGACGCAAATTTTCTTTTTCTTCATGGAACAGTTGGTGGGCTTTTCTTGGAGTATGAAGTACAGATTTGTAAATATTAGTTATTATTTAGAAGAACAAGATTACGATGTCATTCTTCCAAGTGGTGTGGATAAAAGTAGGACTTCCAAACAAACTTTTAATCAGACCAGTTTAAAAATGTCCAAAATACCCTGCTTTTCGCCTCATTGTTACAAGACAATTGGATCCCAGTTTGATTTTTTAAATGATAACATAACGGAGATTATGTTCGTAAATGTTTCAGCTTCCGGGGGCAAAGGTCAGCCTGTGTCCAACTCTCAAGTATATTACTCAACGCTGTTTGCAGTTGTTGCTGTGTCGTTGAGTTCCGTTATTTTCATCTTTGGAATCCTGGGGAATATTCTTGTGGTGATCGTCATCGCTAGGACCCGAAGCATGCACACCCCGACCAACTGCTACCTTCTCAGTTTGGCCGTTGCAGACAGTCTAGTTCTTCTATCAGCGACGCTTCCTGCCATACCCGAGCCGTTCTTCAGAATCGACGAATGGCCTTACGGTCGAGTTTTGTGCTCGCTGCTAATATTCCTACAGTACCTGGGGATCGACACGTCGTCTTTGTCCATTACTGCTTTCACCATAGAAAGATACATCGCCATTTGTCATCCGATGAAGGCACAAATCATGTGTACGGTCAGCAGAGCCAAGAAGATCATCGCGGCTCTGTGGACCTTCACAATTCTCTACTGCTCTCCATGGCTTGGTCTCACGGGTGAGTGATTTTCATTTTACTTGTAGAACAAACATTGAGAACAATTAAAATATGCGGCGTCTGTGGCTTTGGCGTTGCGAGTCCGACTCGTAATTCCAAAGTACCGCGATCGAAACCCACTGCTGGCTGCGTGGATTTTTATCATGGTATGGAGCATCGTGGGGCGACCCAGCCTAAAATGGGTACATGGATGGATGTTCTGGGGAAACTGAAGACAGCCGGCGTAATGCTGACCACATTACCCAACTAGTGTTGATTGGTCTGTGAAAATGTGGGGCTCTCTTTCCATATGCCTAGTGCGCCAAAGGCGTGAAAAGGAATCTTAACTTTACTTTACTTACTTACAATTAAAATAGCTATAAATGGACCTTCGCCCTCATGTGTGTTTCTCTTTGGCTCGGTCTTACGGGTAAGTTATCTTGTGTGTTTCTCTTAGGCTCGGTCTTAGGGTAAGTCATCTTGTGTGTTTCTCTGTGGCTTGGTCTTACGGGTAAGTCATCTTCTGTGTTTCTCTTTGGCTTGGTCTTAGGGTAAGTCATCTTCTGTGTTTCTCTTTGGCTTGGTCTTAGGGTAAATCACCTTGTGTGTTTCTCTTTGGCTTGGTCTTAGGGTAAGTCATCTTTATTTACTGCTTTAGATTGTTTAGATAACGGATCAACCTCATGGCACAAGGGGCAACCCATAAGTGCTCAGTTCTACTTTTGACTCAAGCCCGAGTCTGACGAACCTTAGCGCGGTGCACGAACTACGTAGCACCAGCGAGGGTCCTGAAATACTTTACATATATTTTTGGCACCAAATTTTGCTCTGGTAGCGCCGTTAGGCTACTCTTTTTGATTTTCAACTGTTAAGGGATTTTTTTTTACCTTCGCAACAATACACACGGGCGTCCGATCTCACTACCCAGGGCCAGATGCGGTAACTTCCGACCGAATGTGGGACGCATTTTTTGTGTGGTTATGTTAAAACCCCATCGGGCTGTCGTCGGGGACTCTAAATATAACCTAGGGGTTGAACGGGGTTATTGTGACTTGCAAAAAAGTGATTTCATCCAAATGGTAACACTTTGTGTCCCCGCGAGATTATCGCTAGTCGTGTTGTCCTGGTCAAGTTGACCGTCGGTCAGTCGTTGTAGAATCCTAGGTCAAACGTTGCTGAGAGAGGTCAAAGGTACTGGATTGGATTCAGTCTAAGATACTGAAACAACGTGAAGGTAGAACAGAGTAGAAGAATAAACTTACTTACTTACTTACTTAGATCCAACATGCAAATAAGACAAGAGACCAAACAAGATAATGTATCCAATGTTTTAAGAAAGCGCCAATGGAACTACATCGGCCGTGCACGCATAATAGTTATAAAAAAAAATTAAAGTCGGGAGATGTGAACCAGCGCCATTGCACACGGTTATCAACTATAAGTGCTCTGCCACGAGTATGGACAGCTGATAAAAAAAAAACTGTCCGCCTGTGTCGCCGTCCCCACGCAACTCCGTAGCTAAGGCCACGTTCTTTCATTTAACCCAGAGTGGTAACTCTGGTACCCATAACCTAAAGCTAGATGCTGGGTGAACCTCGGGATCTACCCGGTTTCGAACATTGACCGTGGGCAGCAGCGAGTCGCAGCTGGATTTGAAAGCGAGTCTCCTTTAGACTGCGCTAGCGCGGCCCTGACTCATAAAGGATAAGAACAGACTCCCCCATCAAGCTCTCATATGGACACCGCAAGGGAAAAGAAAACGGGGAAGACAAAGAGAGACCCTGGGTAGAACCATCACCAGGCAATGCTCAACCATGGGCCTTATGAACATCCAAGACTTAAAACAGGTGACAACGAACCGCCAGACATGGAGAGCTATGACTTCTGCCCTATGCGCCACCCTAGACTCCAGAGAAAAGATTAATTAACTAACTTCATCGTTCCTCTTCTACCTTAGGGTTTAGAGGTTTGCCGAGAGATCACCTGACTTCTCTGTCAGTAGTTTTCTTTCTGGCTTTGTTCCATTCCAGTCCTCTGTCAGTAAGGGATTGTCTGATGATGTCTTCCCAGTAAACCCCAGGTCGACAATAATAAACTACAAGCCATGCATAAGGTATAATGACACAACATGATGATGTTATGATGATAATGATGATGGTGTTGATGCATAACTGTGGTTGTTTTGATTGTGGTCACTGTGGTTGTAGCGGTGATGATGGTAAAAGTCGTCAAACAAACAACAAATCGACCGAATGTGACAAGTTCTAATAATTATGACAAACGAAATCACACAGCCAGAAACTACTCAAGAAATTCTGACCTGGTAACTTCAAAAATGACGTTTGTTTAAGGGAAACGAGATAAAGTCCCAGGGGCGGAAAACATGGCAGCATTCTTGCAGCTTTTATCTTGTAAATTCGCGAACGGGGTGATTTCTCTGACCGGAAATTAATTACAACATCTTACTCATCAGGCTCGGATGTGAACTTCTGGTGGTTCGTATTTAAAGGCTTTTTGTGGCCTCCCGCGGCGCTTTGAATAAACTTGTTAAAAGCTTAGTTTTTGGTATTAATTTTGACATTAACAAGTAATTTCTGCCTGACTGCTTATTTTTTGCTGTTCCTACTCTTCTTGTTCATCTTTATGTTCACCGGCTGTTAACTCCATTAGAAATGTCTTGTTGTTCGTCCGTTTGTGGACTTTGGTCTTGTTGCAGAACTTGAGTGTTGAGTACACAATCGTTTTGGAAATCTTGATCAATTTGTGTGTGTGTGTGTGTGTGTGTGTGTGAATTGTTGATTGTTGACGAAGGGGCAACAAGCTGTTGTACGAGGGAGCAGCAACCCGTTGTATAAAGGGGCAACAACCTGTTGTATGAGGGGGCAACAACCTGTTGGATGAGTGAACAACAACCTGTTGTATGAGGGAGCAACAACCTGTTGTACGAGTGAACAACAACCTGTTGTATGAGGGAGCAACAACCTGTTGTATGAGGAGGCACAAAACTGTTGTATGAGGGGGCACAAAACTGTTGTATCAGGAGGCACAAAACTGTTGTATGAGGGAGCAACAACCTGTTGTATGAGGAGGCACAAAACTGTTGTATGAGGGGGCACAAAACTGTTGTATGAGGGAGCAACAACTTGTTGTATGAGGGGGCACAAAACTGTTGTATGAGGGAGCAACAACCTGTTGTATGAGGGGGCACAAAACTGTTGTATGAGGGGGCAACCACCTGTTGTATGAGGGGGCACAAAACTTTTGTATGAGGGGGCACAAAACTGTTGTATGAGGGGGCACAAAACTGTTGTATGAGGGGGCACAAAACTGTTGTATGAGGGAGCGCAAAACTGTTGTATGAGGGGGCAACAACCTGTTTATGAGGGGGCAACAACCTGTTGTATGAGTGAGCACATAACTGTTGTATGAGGGGGCAACAACCTGTTGTATGTGGGAGCAACAACCTGTTGTATGAGGGAGCACAAAACTGTTGTATGCGGGAGCAACAACCTGTTGTATGAGGGAGCAACAACCTGTTTTATGAGGGGGCACAAAACTGTTGAATGAGGGGGCAACATCCTGTTGTATGAGATAGCAACAACCTGTTGTATGAGGGAGCAACAACCTGTTGTTTGAGGGGGCACAAAACTGTTGTATGAGAGGGCACACAGAACTGTTGTATGAGGGGGCAACATCCTGTTGTATGAGGGGGCAACAACCTGTTGTATGAGGGGGCACAAATCTGTTGTATGGGGGTTAAACAACTTGTTGTATGAGGAAGCAACAACCTGTTGTATGAGGGGGCACAAAACTGTTGTATGAGGGGGCACACAAAACTGTTGTATGAGGGGGCACATAAAACTGTTGTATGAGGGGGTACACAAAACTGTTGTATGAGGGGGCAACATCCTGTTTTATGAGGCAGCAACAACCTGTTGTATGAGGGGGCAACTGCCTGTTGTATGAGGGAGCAACAACCTGTTGTATGCGGGGGCACAAAACTGTTGTATGAGGGGGCACACAAAACTGTTGTATGAGGGGGCAACATCCTGTTGTATGAGGGAGCAACAACCTGTTTTATGAGGGGGCACAAAACTGTTGTATAAGGGAGCAACAACCTGTTGTATGAGGGGGCAACAACCTGTTGTATGAGGTAACAACAACCTGTTGTATGAGGGAACAACAACCTGTTGTACGAGAGTACAGGAACATATTTTACGAGGGGGCATCAACCAGTCATGACATGGGCCACTAAAGCTCTAGCCCTGCTGGTTTTGGGTTACTTCTCCTTTGATCGCATTGACACTGCAAGAGTCCTTTAAACGGCTCTTCTTGGCGTGCAATCCTAAGCCATTTTATTTAGCGCACATAACGTGGCCACAATTGTAACCTAAAACTCCCTCTTCTGGGACGCTGTTTGAACGTGACTTCCCAGCGTCTTTTGTTTTCTCCTGGGTTTCACTTTTTTAATTTCAAACCTCTGAGCAGCTCTTTGTTTTTACATCTTTCTTCTTCCCTAGAGCATATTGCACCACTCATTAACGCTGTTATTTAAGCTTCAGAAAGAGCTTTTCTGTTGTGATTTTTCATTCTCTGTCGTCCATTTGGAGAAATCTCAACGTTTGCTTTGCAGGGAGATAATTATTTCAGCTGATGTCGTGTCAAACTGTTCATCAAGAAATTGTCTGCCCCTGCTTGTTCTTGCAGTTAAGCATCAGCGTTTCTTGGCATTTCCTTGCACGTAGGTCCCTACCTTGGGAGGGGCGGGGGGGGGGGGGGGTTATCCATGGCGAAGTGGTTAAGCCGTTTACCTCACGCTCTGAATAAAGTGGGCTCGTTTCACGACTGCCCTCTTCAACTCACAGGTGCAGTTTTGACAGAGATCCCTGGGGATCGTCGCCGGAGCTACGGAGTTCGTTCTCTGTGCAGCGCTCTCGGTAGGCGGCTAGCCCTTCTGCAGAGAGAGCCCGAGCCGTATTGGATACAATCCGGTGCAATAAAGTCGATCCTCCCGACTAAAAACAGTTTTTTATTTACCTTATCAGTCTAATATGTTCCCTTCTCCGATTTTCTATCTTTTTTTTTTAAATTCCTTTATCTGTTCAAACGTTTAATAATTGCCTTTGTATTTATATTCAGTATTTCAATGTTTCAATGTTTTTAACTTCTTTTCAAACGTTTAATAATTGTCTTTGTATTTATATTTAGTATTTCAATGTTTCAATGTTTTTAACTTCTTTTCAAACGATCCTGCTTTTGTTTCATCATTTTGTTTGACTTCATATATTTCTCCCGTCTTTGAGGTTTGCTGTAGTGAATGTACATCCACCGCTGTGTTTGGGGATGTTACGCGTTGAAGTCACAATATCTACCACAGTGTGGCTCTCATACTCCCGATGCGAGAAGCGACACAATAGCCATTTTAAAAAAAAATATATCTACAATGTTTAAGGGAGTCGCCGTGGCGGAGTGGCTAGACGCTCGCGTGCGAATCGGAAGGTAGTGGGTTCGTTCCCTGGCGGAACAGGACGTTTTTGAAAAAAAAAAATGACGTTGACTCCCAGGTCGACCCAGCCTTGAGTGGGTACCGGGTGCATTCCCAGGAAGTAAAGACAGCCGGCGTGATGCTGACCACATCATCCATCTTGTGCCGATTGGTCTATAAAAAATATAGGTCTAGTCCTATATGCCCTATACGCCTAAAGACGTGGAAAAGGGACCTTTACGTTTTTACTTGAAATGTTCACACCGACTTGACCGAAACATGTCAAAATTCAGAAACCAGCAGAAGACCACGTCCCCCCAGTGTCCCCCCAGTGTCCCCCCAGTGTCCCACCAGTGTCCCCCAGTGCCCCCCAGTGTCCCCCCAGTGTCCCCCCCCCAGTGTCCCACCAGTGTCCCACCAGTGTCCCACCAGTGTCCCCCAGTGTTCCACCAGTGTCCCCCAGTGTCCCACCAGTGTCCCCCCGTGTCCCCCCAGTGTCCCCCAGTGTCCCCCCAGTGTCCCCCAGTGTCCCACCAGTGTCCCACCAGTGTCCCACCAGTGTCCCACCAGTGTACCACCAGTGTACCACCAGTGTCCCCCCTGTGTTCCACCAGTGACCCCCCAGTGTCCCACCAGTGTCCCCCCAGTGTCCCCCAGTGTCCCACCAGTGTCCCCCAGTGTCCCACCAGTGTCCCCCCCCCCAGTGACCCCCCAGTGTCCCCCAGTGTCCCACCAGTGTACCACAGAGTCCCACCAGTGTCCCCCCAGTGTCCCACCAGTGTCCCCCCTGTGTTCCACCAGTGACCCCCCAGTGTCCCCCAGTGTCCCCAGTGTCCCCCCCCCCCAGTGTTCCACCAGTGTCCCCCCAGTGTCCCCCCAGTGTCGCACCAGTGTCCCCCCCCCCCAGTGTCCCCCCCAGTGTCCCACCAGTGTCCCCCCCCCCAGTGTCCCACCAGTGTCCCCCCAGTGTCCCCCCCCCCCAGTGTCCCCCCAGTGTCCCCCAGTGTCCCCCCCCCAGTGTCCCCCAGTGTCCCCCCAGTGTCCCATGGGGCATATGATGCTTGACATTTGTATAGACCAATCGAGACATAGTTGAAGATTATGGTCAACGTCACGCACACCGTCTTTACTTTCCATGACATTTCTTGAGGCCGATTTTAGGCTCGGCGCGGATTCCAACTCTAAATTTTCCTCAGGAAGTCGAACATCTAGCCACTACACTCTCATGGCTCTCAGCAAAGATTTCTTCTCAGTGTGGTCTTATTCCTGGACTTGCGTGCTCATCTTTCTTACAGATCTGGCTTGTTTGTATGCAGACTGTTAGTTGCTCGCCTCTCAGGTGGATGCAGTCCGACTTTGAAGTTTACCCCCTAAATATTCGACTCTTACGACATGTTTGATAGGGGAGCAGTGGATCTATTCTTTTTTACTCACAAGATGGGTCACTGGAACCCACACGGGGAAGCCTATATACGAGTAGAGGGAAATATGCAGTTACCTTGTGTTATCACCGTGGGAGCCCGGCTCTCTAGCGTAATTGGCTAAACCGGATTGCGCAGAGACAGGGTGCCAAACTCCTTGTGGTCCGGGTTCAATCCCGGGGGTGGGCAGGAAAGCCACATTTATCCCAGATTTACGGTATTTACAATGGAATCAAGGTCGAAAGGTTGCGATATCCATACTACCGAGCATAAGGGTTAACAACTCATGGCTTCTGGATACTAAAACAAACAAACAAACAAACATCACCGTGGGTATAATGATACTAACTATAAGATTATTATAAGGGGTTAGGTTTAGGGTAAGACAAAGTTCGGAGGAGAGTGAAGCAAGTGCCATACTGTATATTGTCGTTAGGATGTTTGTTAGACCGGAGGACATGCTGTTGTTGCTGATGTCTTGTGCTCAATAAAAATGTCATCAACTGGTGTCGACTGTTAAGTGGAGAAGTTGTGGGAGCTGACTGAGTCGAAACTCTGTCTCGTCTACTTTGTGAACACTAGACAACGACTAGTCTCTTATCATAATTAGAGAAACATTACAATGGAGGTCAATGCACACTGGGCACTCCTATGCGTGCTCCGATACAGCAGTCACTCCAAACTAATTCTACTGATTGTTACTAAAAGGAGCTGGTTATAATCTTGGCTATCTCGACCTCGAACACAGCATAGACGTGCTTCACCATGCTTTATTCATATGGTACGCAATCTGGTTAGCGTCAGAGACACTAACAGTAGTTAGACCGTTGTGATGCTGGTTACGTCATTCACATGTGACCCCTACCTCTTCTGCTGCTGCCCCTTATCCCCAGTTGAAGTATAAGCACTTAACTCGATCTCCTCCTATTTGTACATATTACGTGCAGCTGTCTCCATCTTTTCAACTTTATTATCTAGCTTCTTTCTCTTAGTATTTTTGGTCTGCCTTCATTTCTTTATCTAGGTAGGTTCCAATGCGTTACACCTATTGTATTCTTAAGGCTTTCTCAGCTGGTGTCTTGTCTGACGTCAAGAGTCGCTTTGTCAGCTCTCGGTTCACTGAAATTTGTTGAGTTCATTCCCGAAGCTCTGCATTAGTGATCTTCTTCTTTTGCCTTTCAAGCCCCCACTGGAGCATTGGCTCTCAACCCAGGTCGTTCTATCCTTCGCTATCACATGCACGCTCTCCCCATGACCTCTCGATCTTTTTACACTACCATCTCTAGTTCCCTCCTCTATTTTGGTCATTCTTTATTTCTATGCCCCTGTGGGGTTCAGTGCAAAGATACTCTAGTTATATTGTTCTCAGATTTTCTAAACGTGTGCCCTATCCAACGGCAGCATCTTTTCATCAGCTCTTGGTCCACTGGAACCTGTTTAGTTCTCTCCCAAAGTTCTACTTTAGTGATTCTATCAAACCATTTAATTCCCTCTATTCTGCGCGGCACCAGTTAGTGATGGCTGTAGATATATAGGAGTGTCCCGAAAATTTCCATACGTAGGAAAAAAAAAATATCACCAACGACATCACATGCATAACCCCAACTGGGCTGATACACGTTCTTCAACAGTGGACGGTTCACGTCAAAATGCGTTTTCAAACTAATGGTAGTCGTGTACAGAATGTTATATAAATATAAAATGGTTTTCTTAAGAAATGTT